CACATCAAGCAGATGTTCACCTGCACATCTGCCAATGTGGTATACTGTATCCGCTGTTCCCGTTGTGGCCTCCTCTACATCGGGAAAACCAAGCGGAGGCTTGGGGAGCGCTTTGCGGAACACTTATGCTCGGTTCGCACTAAACAACTGCACCTCCCAGTCGCGAACCATTTCAACGCCCCCTCCCATTCCTCAGACGACATGTCTATCCTGGGCCTCCTGCAGTGCCACAACGATCCCACCCGAAGGTTGCAGGAACAGCACCTCATATTTCGCTTGGGAACGCCGCAGCCCAATGGTATTAATGTGGACTTCACAAGCTTCAAAATCTCCCCTCCCCCAACCGCATCCCAAAACCAGCCCAGCTTGTCCCTACCTCCCTAACCTGTCCTTCCTCACCTCTATCCCCTCCTCCCACCCCAAGCCCCACCCCCATCTCCTACCTACTATCCTCATCCCGCCTCCTTGATCTGTCCGTCCTCCCTGGACTGACCTATCCCCTCCCTAACTCCCCACCTACACTCACCTTTACAGGCTCCATCCCTGCCTCTTTGACCTGTCCATCTCCTCTCCACCTATCTGCTCCTTTATCCATCTTCTATCTGCCTCCTCCTCTCTCCCTATTTATTTCAGAACCCCCTTCCCCTCCCCCATTTCTGAAGAAGGGTCTAGGCCCGAAACGTCAGCTTTCCTGCACCTCTGATGCTGCTTGGCCTGCTGTGTTCATCCAGCTCTACACCTTGTTATCTTAGAGTACTTGGGCGGTTATTTTTGACTGGCACAAAATTGACGTTATTTTTAGTGAACGTACTTTGCAGGTTATAAAAAACAGCAACCCAAAATATGCGAGAGTTTGATTCTCTCTTCAACGAAACATCAAACCCTTCGTCATTGTCATTAATTTGCAGGAAGATAAAATTATTTGAAGTGGTTATCACTGCCCAGATTCTTCCACATTCTCGAGTAATCTCTTCCAATGACTTTCTTGGTGACAACTCACTCTTCTCCGAGAACCAAGAAATTATGTTTAACTTTAAAGAATTGAGAGAAATAAACAAAAGCTGACTTCAAACAAAACCACATGACCACAAAACGTACAAAGCCATAATCAGAACTGTACAGAAACAATGAGTCAATAAGGATTTTACAGTCATAAACATGCAACTAATGTTGCGGACAGTAAATATGTTAAATAACCTTTTCAACTTTTATTCTGGCAACTTAATAATGCTTTTCCTCAAATGAACTACTTCTGAGAGAGAAAAAAAGGGAACAGATCAAGGAAAAGGGCAGCTGAAATTAACTGAACTCACGGCAAGTCTTCAAGTTTGGAGGCATCATGATGTGGATCAAGAAGATCATAACCACATTCATTGTAGATTTCTAAGTAGGAAATGTGAGTTGTGTAGACTTTATTGCTGTCCTGTTCCAAAGGAAATGAAACAAATAACAAAAAAGCCAAGTTGTTGGTTAGGTATATAATTTATTGTGCACATTGCAATTCTACATTTTCACATAGTGACTTTCAGTTCAATAGTTTACTGCAACAATAATTTTATTAAGCATCTCAGGTTGGGTAAAATCCCTGTCACTCAAAAGGTCATGCAAGGGGAAAAAGAACAAAGACTTATTCAGTTAGACACCTTCAGGCAATGCAAGGTGCTGTTGTCTTATGCAACTAAGTCAATTTGGCAATAAGTGGTACAGAATCGACAGCCAAGTCATACAACAGATGTGCAAAAATACACAAGATTAATTCCTTGACAATACACAAGCCTGTTTTTCCTGTCACTGACTGTACTCAAACAGAAAGAGAATTCTGCCAAATGCACTGAACGCATTACAGATTCAAGCCATTTTCCTGGTCAGGGTTTAACGGGATCCCCAGAGGCAGAAAATTCTCAAAAGAGGAATGAAATTTACCAAAGGTGAAAGGGGTCCAGCAGTTAAATAGCCAATGTTTGTCAAGCCTTGGTCTTACCTAAAGTCTAATTGGACCTACATGAAGACAAAGATGACCACTGCTAGGTTTTTAGCCCACAACAAACGGCTTAGGATCTTAAGGATTGCCATCATCCTTCCTCTAGTGATCCTCAAGGTTTGAAGAAGCAGTAATAAAAAAAAGGAGGTTTGCTGGGTCCTGAGAAAGTTGCCACTATGCTTCTCCAATAGTTTTCAATATCAACACTGTGAATGGGACTGCATTTGCCAGGCATAATGCTTAACAATCCAGTTGTAGTAAGAGAATTACCTGCAATGGCTTCTTGTCTCACTGCCATGCTGTTACCTATGCTGATGCTTGAGGTTCTATCCTTACCCTTCTCCCAATTTCTCAGGCACACAGTGCCCTTCAGAGAAATAATCCAACAACACACTGACAGTTTTCACATTACCCATTCCTTCCTCAATACCACTACTCTGAATTCCTAACTGTCTCTAAACTATCAGATTTGCTTATCTAACATCTAGCATAGGACGAACAAATGTATCCAGCAACTAAACATCGAAAGGACTTATGCTACTGCCTCCTTCACAAACTCTTTTCCAAGCCCCCACCCCATTCTTCAACCTGCAACTGACTGAGACTGAACCAGAAAGTTCACAACCTTAGTCTTATATTTGATCTCATAAAGTCGTAGAGCACGGAAACAGACCCTTCGGTCCAACCAGTCCATGCTGAACATAATCCCAAACTAAACTAGTCCACCTGCCTGCTCCTAGCTCATATCCCCTCCAATTTTTTGCTATTCATGTACTTAAAAGGTCTTCCAAACGTTGTAATTGTACCCACATGCACCACTTCCTCAGAAAGTTCACTCCACATGCAAACCACCCTGTAGGTATATTTTTCTTAAATCTCTCTCCTCTCACCTTAAAAGTGTGCCCTTTATTCTTGAAATCACTCATCCTACGGAGAAGATCATTAACTCTATCTATATCCCTCATTATTTTATAAACTTCTATAAGGTCACCTCTCAATCTCCTAGGCTCCAGTGAAAAAAGTCACAGCTTATCCAGCCTTTCCTTATAACTCAAACCTTCCATACCCAGCATCATCCTGGTAAATCTCTCTCCAGCTTAATAATATCCTTCCTATAACAGGGCAACCAGAACTGGACACAATATTCCAGAAGAGCCCTCACCAATGTCCTGTACAAACTCAACATGACTTCCCAACTGCTATACTCACAGGACTGAGCAATGAAGGCAAGCGTGCCAAACACCTTTCTAACCATCCTGTCTACATGTGATGCAAACTTCAAAGAATTATGTACCTGCACCCATCGGTCCCTCTGTTCTACAACACTAGTCAAGGCCCTACCATTAATTGTATAAACCCTACTCTTGTCTATTGTATCAAAATTATGATGAGTTTCTGACAACATATCCATCTCACTAAAAATGCCTACTTCCACTTTTGTAATGTCAATTGAAAACACTCCTGGCTAAGCTTATTTACTGCCCAAATTCTCATTTGTTACTTCCTGACACAACTATTCCAACATACTCCCAGCTAGTCTCCCACATTCCACAGAGGATAAACTTGATCTCATTCAGAATTCTGATCTCTATGTTGAATCACTATTTACACATCACCCCTGCTCAATGATCTTTCTAATAGCTCCTAATTAACCAATGCTTCATACTGCAAATTCTCATACTTGTTTGCAAATTCCTTCATGGCCTCACCCTTTGCCATCTCTCTAACTCTAAATAAAACTAAACAAAGCACCAGTATTGATCTTGGCAGTGGAAACAACAACAGCACACACACCAGTATCATCCCAGTAAAATCCTCCTTACTAATATATGGGGGTATTTTTGCCCACTTGTGTTCCTTGGACCAGTAACTCAAAACTGAAAGTTAATTTTCTAGGGACATGGATTCGAATTCCACCATGGTAGATGCTGAAATTTGAATTCAATACAAAATTAAATACAAAAAAATCTGTAACAAGAGGCCAGCATAATGACAACCAAGTAACCACTGTTAATTATCGTAAAAGCATATCTGGTTTACTGACGTCCTTTAAGGAATGAAATCTGTCATCCATACCTGGTCTGGTCTACATGTGATTCCCGACCCACAGCAACATGGCTGATTCTTAACTGGCCTCTGGACAATTAGGGATAGACAATAAATGCTACCTGGCCGGCAAATACACTCATTCCCTAAACAAATGAAAAAATATTGGAGAACTATCCCACAGACATGTCCAGCCACAGCCTGACAAGGTCATAGTCACAGAATCATACCTTAGAAACAAAGTCCCAGATACCACCATCACCACATATGCCCTGTTCCATCAGAAGGACAGACCCAGCACAGATGGCTGCACAGTAATATATAGTTGGAAGGGAAACACCTGCAGTCCTGAACACTGACTCTGGACCTCAAAGTCTCATGACAGCAGGAAAAACATAGACAAGGAAACCTCCTGCTGATTACCACTACCATACGAAAACATGGACAAGGAAACCTCCTGCTGATTACCACTACCATACGAAAACATGGACAAGGAAACCTCCTGCTGATTACCACTACCATACGATGTCCACTGATAAGTACTTTTTTATGCTTTACATCAACTGGAGGAAGCACTGAACGGGACAATAGCACAGACTATATTCTGGGTAGGGAACTTCAATGTCCAGTGCCAAGATTAGCCTGGTAGCACCACTACTGATGGAGTTGGGCAGGTTCCAAAGTACACAGCTGTTAGACTGGGTCTGGGCTAGGCAGTAAGAAAACGAATAAAATGGAAAAATCTACTTGGCCTCTTCGTAACCAATCCATCTTTCGTAGATGCATTTCGATGAAACAATTGGCAGGAGTGACAACTGCACAATCCTTGTGAAGAGGATGCCCCACCTTTACATTGATCATACCCTCCATCATGTTGTGTTAATACAGCCATAGAGTCATAAGGTAAAACAGCATGGAAACAGGCCCTTTGGCCCAAACTGGTCCATGCTGACAATTGTGCCCAATCAGCTAGTTCCAAATGCCCGCATTTGGTCCATATCCCTTTAAATCCTTCCTATCCATGTACCTCTCCAAATGTTTTTTTAAATGTTGCTATTGTACCTGCCTCAATCACTTTCTATAGCAGCCTAATCCACGTATGCACCACGCTCTGCGTGAAGAAGTTGACTCTCAGGTCCTTCTTAAATCTTTCACCTTTCACCTTAAACCTATGCCCTCTAGTTTTCAATTCCCCATCCCTGGGAAAAAGACTATATGCATTCATCCTATCTATGCCCCTCATGATTTTATATACCCCAATAAGGTCACCCCTCATTCTCCTACATTCCAAGGAATAAAGTCCTATCCTGGCCCTATAACTCAGGCCTACTAGTCCTGGCAACATCCTCGTAAATCTTCTTTGCACACTTTCCAATTTAACTTTGTCTTTCCTATAACAGGGTGACCAAAACTGTATACAATACTCCAACTGCTGCCTCACCAACGGCTTTTACAACTGTAACATAACGTCCCAACTCCTATACTCAATGCCTCGACCGATGAAGGCCAGCATGCAAAATGCCTTCTTCACCACCCCGTCTACCTGTGATGCTGCTTTCAACGAACTATGTACTTGTACTTGTAGGTCCCTCTGTTTCACAACATTCCTCGGGGCCTTGCCATTTACTGTATAAGTCCTACCTTGGTTTGACTTTCCAAAGTGCAAACCTCACACTTACCTATATGGAATTGCATTTGCCAATCCTCAGCCCACTTCCCCATCTGATCAAGACCCCTCTGTAATTTTTGATAACCTTCCTCACTACCAACAATACCTCCTAATTTTATATCATCGGCAAACTTACTCATCATGCATTGTACATTCACATCCAGATCATTTATGTAAATAACAAATAACAATAGGATAGACTTCAAATAGATCTAGCAACCAAAACTGGGCAGCTATGAGACGAGGTGAACTCTCAACAGCAGCAGCATTGTATTGAACCACAATTAATAACCTCATGGCCCAGCATCTCCCCCAGTTTCCCAATACCATGAAGCTGGGGAATCAAACCTGGTCCAAAGAGTGCTGAGGGCACACCAGGAATAGCATGCTGAAAAATGAGGTGCAACCTGAAGTTAAAACATTGAACTATTTGGACACCAAACAGGGAAAGAAATCCTTCAACCAGAGGATCAGATTTAATCTATGCAACCTTGCCACATACAGTCCAAGCCAAACACCATCCTGACTTGTAACTATACTCCCACTCTTTCACAGTCACTGGGTCAAAATCCTTCCTCACAGTACCATGGGTGTACCTACTCTCCAGGGACTGCAGTAGTTCAAATGGGTCGCTCACCATCATCTTCTGAAGGACAGATAGGGTTAACCCTAACCCTATTGCAGGCAATAAAAAAAAGACAAAATAAAATAAACCATAATAAATGTAGGCCTAACCAGCAATACCCATATCTCAAAAGCAATGTTTTCTTATATAAATTCTGTCCAGCTCTGAACCCTCAATTAAATACAATCCCCAATTTTAGTCCCTTGAGTAGCTCCACTTTTATTTTCTTTTAAATTGGCGGCTGTGCTTCCAAGTACTAAGGCCATAAACTCAAGAATGTCCTCGCTAAACATCTCCCTCATTTCTCCTTTGAGAATATCGCTGGACTGTTAATCCAGTGACTCAGGTAACATTCTGGGGACCCAGGTTCGAATCCCACAATGGCAGATGGTGTAATTTGAATTCAATAAATATCTGGAATTAAGAGTCTAATGATGACTATGAAACCATTGTCAATTGTTGCAAAAACCCATCTGATTCAGTAATGTCCTTTAGAGAGGGAAACTGCCATCTTTACCTGGTCTGGCCTACATGTGACTCCAGACCCACAGCATTGTGGTTGACTTTTAACTGCCCTCTGGACAATTAGGGATGGGCAATAAATGCTGGCCTAGCCAGCAAAGGCCTCATCCCGCAAATGATTAAGAAAAAGTTCATTAAAAATTATCCTTTTGACAAAATGTTCGGTCATCTATCCCGATATTTGCTTATATGGCTAAGTACCATATTTTGGCTGGAATACTGAATTGGTATCAAGTCTTTCCACCCCTTAATTTTCACTTCTACTCTATTATTTTGACTTTTTCTCAGGAATTTGTAAGAGTGAGGTTTCAACGGCAACGAGGTCATCAGTTCAGAGTTGTTCGTTTTGTTGATAATGACATCACAGTACACTTGTAAATCACCCACAATGTGGGTATAGAGCACTAACGACAGATCCAGGGGTGATTACCTATATGCTGAAAGGAACTGAGTGAAAGCAGGGCTGAGAAAGTGGGCATCTGAGGAACTGTAAGAGTGCAGTGCATAAACTGGTTCAAATGTGAAATTTCACTTTCTTCAAAATGAATATTTATAGAACCCCCACAGCGTGGAAACAGGCCATTCAGCCCAACAAGTCCACACCAACCCACTGAAGAGCATCCCACCCAGACCCATCATCCTACCCTATACTTCCCATGGCTAATGCACCTAATCTACACATCCCTGAATACAATGGGTAATTTAGCATAGCCAATCCACCTAAGCTGCACAACTTTGGACTATGAGAGCAAACCAGAGCACCTGGCGGAAACCTAAGCCAATACGGGGAAAACGTGCAAACTCCACACAGTCAGTCACCGAAGGCTGAAAGCAAACCCGTGTCCCTGATGCTGTGAGGCAGCAGTGCTAACCATTGAATTACCACACTGCCATGGAGCAGCAGTGGTATGTGAAACCCATATAAGATGAAGCACAGATGGACTGTCACGTTTAATCAGTGATATATCTTGACATGACTAACCTATTATGGCTAAGAAGTGAGATTTCATCAGCAAAGATGCTGGTTGTTCTGAAGAACTAATCGACTATCTTGAGCGCATTAGACAGGTGCAATTATCCAATAAAACAGTATGTACCTCTTTTGCAAGTTGCATCCAATATAAATTTTTCAAAATGTTGAATATTAGATATACTGTACAACAGGAAGAGGGAACAGACTGGACTTTATAACTGCCAGAAGATTAATGAAGGATTAAGATAATGCAACGGAGATAATTACAACAGTTAATGACTTGTCCATAGTTTAAACTTAGGCCTACAGGAGGAAATGTCTACGAGTTCTGATTTTGTTTAGATTCCACGTCTCCTGCTGAGGCAGTGGAGCCAGGTACAGAATAAACAGTGCAAGCTTATATAATTTTCGTCTTCCAGACAGGACTGCCCCAACCAACAAACCAACTTAGTTCTTGAAATTCTTGACAGATGTGGTTTTGGAGACTGGTGGAGATTGAGGCTTAGACGCATAATATTAAATCTAAAAATAAAAATCTAAACCAAGCTGAAAGTAAGCACATGGTCATCTGCCCTGAATTCCTGTACTAAGTCTTTCCCACTCTTCTCAATATTTTCTATACAAGTTAATTCATGTTATATGGCAGTAACAGATTTCCTGGCATTCCACACGACTGCTTACACAAGTTTAAATATTTGGATAACACTTTATTTCCTTTGCAACTGCAACCAACCCACGAACTACTTTAGCATTAGAAACAATAGACAAAGCACTTTACCTTCTGAAACTCCCCAAAGATGTATGAGAGTGTCCTGGGAATGATGCCCCTGTCACTGTATCGCTCTGCTCCTCCTGTGACAGTGAAAGTCTTCCCGCTGCCTGTCTGCCCATAAGCAAAAATTGTGCCATTATAGCCTGCAAGGACACTGGAAAAGAGTGTGTGCAGAACAAGAAAAGTGTTATAGGATTGCTGATTATTAACCACATATTTCAAAATAGTATTATTTGATCTCGGTCATCCCAATCATTCACAGGCCAATAGACAAGACAGAAATGGCCTGGATTTGTCTCTTTGATCAAAATATTGACACAACTGTAGCCAGCTAGGTGTTCTACTCAAACTGAGAATGCCAGTGAAACTCAGCAGGTCTGGCAGCATCTGTGGAGAGAGAAACAGAGTTAACATTTCAAGTTTATTCTGACACTTCTTCAGAAACTACACAGATTTAGGGCTACATTGAACCAACTACAGTTTACCAGGTCAGCCACACTAATATTTTTGCCAGACTTCTAATGTTATCCCCATATGTGGTCACAACCTTACCTACGGGGAGCAAAAATGAGAGAGTAAAATGAGGCTGCTGAAGGCTCTACAGCCTTACAGAAGAGGACCAGCTACCGCAAGTCACCTAAAGTGAATGTCCAAATCTTCCAAAATAGAACAGAATGATAGTAACAGTGAGAACTTTTTTTTAATTCACTCATGGGATATAGGAGTCTCTGGCTAGATCTGCATTTATTCTTATTATAGAATCCCTAGAGTGTGGAAACAGGCCCTTCAGCCCAACAAGTCTACACCGACCCTTGGTGCATCCCACCCAGACCCATTCCCATATAACCCACCTAATCTACACGTCCCTGAACACTACAGGCAATTTAGCATGGCCAATCCACTTATCCTGCACATCTCTGGACTGTGGGAAGAAACCAGAGCACCCGGAGGAAACCCACGCAGACACGGGGAGAATGTGCAAACTCCACACAGACAGTTGCCAGAGGGTGGAATCAAGCCCAAGTTCCTGGCGCTGTGAGGCAGCAGTGCTAACCACTGAGCCACCATGCCATCCTTATTTAATGCCTGTTCCTTTTGTTTTCAATTCATTCGTGGGATGTAGGTGTCATTAGCTGGGCCAGTATTTATTTCTCATTTCACGCTGTCCTTGAAATAAGTGTCTTGCCTGGCTACTGCAAAGAACAGTAAGCGTCATCCATAATGCTGTGGGTCTGGAGTCACATGCAGGCTGGACCAGGTGAGGATGGCAGATTTCTTTCCCTAAAGAACATTAGTGAATGACATGGGTTGATGGGACCTTTTTTTAAACAACATAGCCATCATTCTAATGCCAGATTTTTTTAAAGTGAATTCAAATTTCCCATGGAGGGGTTTGAACTCGGGTCCTGAGAATATTTCCTGGGTCTCTGGATTGCTAGGCCATTGCCTCCTTTGCCCTAGAGAAAGTCGTGTTGAGCTGACTTCTTGAACCACTTCAGTCCTGAGGTGTACAGCTACTCCCTGTAGAAAGTAAATTGAAGGATTCTGATTCATAGACAATAAAGGAATTGCAGTTAGTTTCAAATCAGGATAAATGTGAGATTTGGAGAGGAATTTACAAGTGCTGGCATTCCCAATAGCAGCATCCTTAAAGAAAAAAATCCCAAGACACATCAGAAGCCAATTTCAGAATAGATATTGACCTTGATCAAAGAGGTGGGTTTCAAGTTTGAAGGATAAAGAACAGCAGAAGTAAAAGGATATCAGCAGCAGAATTCCAGAATATTGCAACGGATAGGTCTGGCCACAGAACGCTCCAAGTAGTTGGACTGTTCCACATCTCTTGTTCGTTGTGGAAAAATTTACAAAGACAAATACCTTTGACCACACTTCCATCAACAAGTTGTCAGCACATAGTGTCCTCGAGACTGCGGGAAAAGGAGAGGGTAGATCCTATCACGTGTTCCCTGAGCAGACTATCAAAGTCATTTGGCAGCATGCCTCATTACCAGAACTTTCCAAACAAATGCCAAGATGTAGCTTGGCTGTTGCTGAGAAGGGCACCACCCGTCAGATACTTCATGCACGTCCGGTCTCTGTGCATCACCGCACGCTGCCTTTGAAGCAGCTACACTGGTGAGGAGACTGTCACACGTCTCTTTCTGGGATTGTGCCTTTGTAAAGAAGGTCTGAAGAGAGACGTAGGGATTTTTGGCAAGGTTCATCCCAAGCAGCTCCATGACATAGAACTCTGTTTAAGACTGCTCCCTGAGACGTACACCAAGAGAAACATCAACTGCACCTGAAGGACCATCAACTCAGTGAATGACACTCTTTGGTCTGCCCGAGATTTGTTGGTCTTCCAATGTAAAAAGTTGACCTCAATTGAATATTGCAAACTGGAACATTCTAAGGTCCAGCACTATGTGCGGAGTGGCAGTGCTGCCAAGGCGTAGTGGGCAAAGACCACTGTCCAAGGTATTGCTGCCAAAGTTTAATGAGATGTTATTCAATTATAGACCCCCTTGTTGCCTCTGTGTACAGAAATAGTGAGTTGCATGAGTAGGAAATGCCTTTGGCTTTTGCAACTGCAGGGAATGTCAAATTTCTTCAGTGATATGCAAAGACGGTACAGAACTGCTTTAGTACCTGTGAATGGAAATAAAGATCTTTTTAAACTAAATAAAGAATATATTTGCAATTAATTAAAAAATGTCCATGGAAAAGATCAAAAAGTGACATGGCGCAAAAAGAAGCAGTTGATTGGGTGTATGTGGTCAGGTGAGTATTTATGATTTTTTAAAATTAATTATAGCTTATAATGTCTTTATTTTGGGTACATAGCATGTAAAATGCAGGGTTCTAGACAAGAAGAGTCCTAGACTAATTAATATTATCTCATTTTAAGGGCATTCTAAGGTTTTAATTTAAAGGAGTAAGGCATGGAAGAAGAGCTCAAGGTCATGGTGTGTAACACCTGTCCTATTTGGGAAGTCAAGCACAGTTCCAGTGCTTGAACCAGAATATGTGCATTAAGTGTCTCCAGCTGCAGCTGCTAGAAGCCAGAGTTTCAAAGCTGGAGCCGTGGCTGGGAGCATTGTGGACCATCCACAATACTGAGTGTATTGTGGACATCACATACAGAGAAGTGTGCACTTCCCAAGCTAAGACACCACAGGCAGGAAGTACAACAGTCTCCTGTGGACATTCCCTTGCAAAGCAGATATACCACTTTGGATAGTGTTGAGGGGAAAATGGCCTGAGGAAAGTGGCAACAGCTAAATTTGTTGCACAGCAGTTGGTTCTGCTACATGGGAGAGGAGGAATAAATGTGAGAAAGCTACAGCGAAAGGGGATTCAACTGTAAGAGGAATGGACAGATGCTTCTGTGACTACAAAAAGTTTCCAGGATAGTGTGTTGCCTTCTGGGTCTTAGGGTCAAGGGCATCTTGTAACAGCTACAGGACATTCTGGAGTGGGACTTTGAACAGTCAATGATGCTGGTTCACATCACAACCAATGACATAGATATAAAAAAAAGTATGAGTTCATAAAGCAGAATACAGGGAGTTAGAAAGTAATTTAAAAGTAGGACCCCCAAGGTGTGATTTCAGGATTGCTACCAGTGCCATCTGCTAGTCAGAGGAGAAGTAGCAGGATATATCAGATGAATAGGTGGCTGGAGAGAAGGTATGAAGGGGAGGGTTTCGGTTTCCTGGAGACCTGGGATTGGTTCTGGAAGAGATGGGGCCAATACAAGCTAGAAGAGTTGCACCTGGTCAGGACCGGAACTGATGTCCTAGGGGAAATGTGCTAGTGGGTTGGGGATGGTTAAACTAAAATGGTAAGGGGATTGGGAATGTACACAGGGAGACAGAACAAGGGCAGAGATAACAGAATGGGAAATAAGTAAAGCAATGGACAGGGAATTCAAGGGCAGGAATCAATCAGGGCTAACATCCAAAATATTCCGATCAGAACTACAAATGTTAAAAAGACTAGCCTTAAAGGCTTGTGTCTTAATACAGGGAGCATTTGCAATAAAGTGGATAAGTTAATTGCACAAATAGATATAAATGGGTGTAATATAGTTGGGATCACAGAGATGTGACTTCAGTGTGACCAGGGATGGGAACTGAATATTCAGACATATTCAGTTTTTAGAAAGGACAAAGGAGGTGGGATTGTGTTGCTGGTTATAGGGACAAATTAATGCAATGGTGAAAAAGGATATTAGCTCCAGTGAAGTGGAATCTGTATGGGTAAAGCTGAGAAACACAAATGGGCCGAAAACAATAGTAGGGATTGTATTTAGATCTCCAAACTATACTGGTAATGCTGGGGAAGGCATGAAACAGAATCTTGGCAATGCAAGCAATAAAGATACAGCTGTAATTATGGGCGACTTTAATCTACATATAGATTGAGCAAATCAAATCAGTAACAATAGGGGGGAACTCCTGGAGCGTGTACGGGGTTTTCTGGATCAATACACTGAAGACATCAGGCCATCTAGATTGTGTCCTGTGTAATAAGAAAGGAATAATTGCCAATCTAGTTGTGCAAGGCCCTATGGGGAACAATGCACATAAAATGACAAAATTCTTTATTTAAATGGAGATGGCATAGCTGATTCTGAGACAAGGGTCCTGAATTGAAATAAAGGAAACTATGATGAAATGAGGCACAAGCTGCAGCCATGGTAAAGTAGGACCATTACTTAAAGGAATGGTGGTGGACAGGAAATGGTAATGTTTAAAGATCCCATGAAGGAATGCAACAATTGTTCATTCCTGACTGGCAGAGAATTAAAATGGCAAAGGTGGCCTGACCATGGCCAAAAAAAGGAAATTAAGGACAGCACAAGATCCAAGAAAGGGGTAGACAAAAAAGGTAGCTGGCATTAAGACTGGGAGCACTTTAGATTTCAGTAAAGGGGGTCAAAGAGGTAGATTAACAGAGGGAAAATACAGCACAAGAGTAAGTTAGTGGGGAACATACAATCTGATTGTAAAAACTTATACAGATAAGTGAAGAGAAAAAGATTAGTAAAGACAAATTGGGGAAATAAATAATGATGTTTTAAAGACAACCCACAGTGGGAAGCTACGGAGGAATTTGTGGGGCCCTTGGCAGAGATACTTGCATCATTGACAGCCATGAAGACTGGAGGGTGGTTGATGTTGTGCCTTTATTTAAAAAAAGGGTGCAGGGAAATGCCTGGGAACTATACGCCTGTGGTGGCTAGGTTGATAGAGGGGATTCTGAAAGACAGGATGTACAGGCATTTGGAAAGGCAAGGATTCATTTGGAATAGTCAGCATGGCTTTGTGTGTGGGAAATCGTGTCTCACAAATTTGATTGAGTACTTTGAAGCGGTGACCAAGAAAATTGATGAGGGCAGTGCATTTGACATTGTCTACTTTGATTTTAGCAAGGCCTCTGACATGGTACCACATGGTTCAATAAGGTTAAACCTCAAAGGATCCAAGGAGAGCTGGCCAATTGGATACAAAATCGGCTTGAAGGTAGAAGACACGGGGTGGTGGTAGGGGACTGTTTTTCAAACTTGAGACCTGTGACCAGCAGTGCTGAGTACTCTGTTATTCATCATTTACAAAAATGATTTGGATGAGAACTTAGGAGTTATGGTTAATAAGTTTACAGATGACACTAAGATTGGTGGTACAGTGGACAGTGTAGAATGTTATCTGGGAATACAACGAGATCTTGATCAACTGGGCCAGTGGGCTGAGGAATGGCAGATGGAGTTTAATTTAGATAAATGCAATGAGTTGCATTTTAATAAGCCAACCAGGGCAGGACTTACACAATCAATGGTAGGGCTCTGGGAGAATTATAGAAAAAAAGAGATCCAGGGGTACAGGTTCATAGCTCCTTGAAAGTAGAGTCACAAGTAGGCAAGGTGGTGAAGAAGGCTTTCAGCATGTTTGCTTTCATCGGTTAGAGCACTGAGTATAGGGGTTGGGATGTCTTGTTGCAGCTGTACAATATGTGAGTAAGGCACATTTGGAGTACAGTGTACAGTTCTGGTCACCCTGCTATTG